ATAATATTGCTTTTCTTTATTTAATTCTACAGTTCAATTTCGCTCACAAAAGTCGATCATTACGTAGACAAGTTGTTATCAATTTTGTATTATTTTTGTTCCAGTGGCCATATTATTTCTTATGCTAGATTTTTATTCGTTGTTTATCAACGATGTCCAGTATGAAAATTACTCTTTTCTAGTCTCCTTGTTATTGTTGCTATTCTTGCTACACTATGTGATATTATGTTTTATAACTGATCAGAGAAAAGAAGATGATAACATTGAATAAATCTTATAGTCTATAGTGTTGTCTAGCAAACATCTAAATGTGCTGGTCAAATAGTAAAAATTCATTTCAGAAGAAATCATTAAACAATCCATTCGTCAATCTGATTTTGAAACCAATGAACTATAGTAAAAGAGAAACATCAATTTTTCATTTTTCTAAATTACTAATCATAGTCTATATGAGTAATTTTATTCTTTAAACACGCGACTTGGCAAAAATAAAAATATGTATATCTTTAAAATCAAGTATTTCTTTTAGTTTATTTTTATGTAACAGACGTATTCTACAGATATTGAACATCTATCAAAGCATCGTTTTACATTTTGATATACAAACACAGTAAGTTATATTCAGATGAATAACTTATTGGTTTTTGAAGTTTGTTTCATGATCTACCTGTTGGAAAGATTACCCGACTTCAGAAAACATTAACTAATAAAATGTTAATAAATGCAAAATTACAACAGATCCATACTAATTTTAAGAATAAAGCGAGAAAAATCTTGCTAATGAATCTAGGACTTTGTTCTTTCCTAGGATAAGGAAAGAATCAGACTTGATTTTTGAAGAAATTCAAGATTCATTTCGCAGTAAAAGTTTCTCGTTTTATTAATCGAGATTTTGTCTTCTAATGTTGAATATGATTCGTAAGATCAAAAGAATCAGAAAAAGAACCGTTCATGGAAATGATAGAAAAATTAATTTTGACTGCTTTCTTATTTAAAATTCTGAATCCATCACGGACAAGTATGTAAATAAATGAACCATGTCTTTTCTTCTCTTTTCCTCTTCATGGATTATTTTCTCGTTTCATCCTTTTCATGTGTCTATAAGTGCTACATCTCATAAAAAGAATGATTTGCTTAGGCTCACTATCAACTTCAGTTTAGAGTGATAGTTAGAATTAATCTGTAAGATGTTGTGTCAATAAATAACTTTTCTTCAATCAAAGACTCTGATGAAGAAACTTTGCTACGAGTGTGCTTATGGTATAATAAACATACAGCAGACTGATACGCTTGAGCAAAGATGGCAATATCAAAAATATATGTCAAAACAGCAGACTATTAGCAGAAAACATCGAATGAGTGTGGTTAGCTGTGTTTCCTTCTCTCTCATCTACTTACATCCAAACTACAAAAATTTTTGTCTTTCCCTACTGTCTATAAGGACAGAAGGAAACAACAGGACAGAGCGAAACAGGATGGGAAAATTTGTCTTAGACTCAACACCATACTGAATGCAATGTATAGCTTTTCATTTTACCTAATGAAGTACCTACATAATCGAAAACAAAATGGTGAATGTGCGTGCAGCGTGTGGGTGCCAGTTGGTGTGTGCGGGCGTGGGTGTGAGTGTGGCTCCTATTTTAAATGACACCCATACCCGCACCCACACCGACACCCCACAGTCATACTTCACATACTCACACCCACACTCTTAAGTGAAAACTACTAGTAATGAATGTCTTTACAAAATGCACACTTTTGGTCAGTCTCGATGTTCCTCACAAAAGAGATGTTTTATTATAGTAACGATTAATAATTATCTTGATTTTAAAAAAAGTTCGTAATCTAGAAGAAAAAAAAAATTCTACCACCATATATATAAATCTGTAGCAACCAGGTCAATTAAATAATTCGGAAACAATTCTTCTGAATCGATAAGTCTCTTCAGTATTTCATCCATTAATATAGCCGTATTTTTTGTACATATTGAACATAAATCTCTAATACTGGTTTTAGTTTCTGATAATATAAAGCGCATAATCGATTCAAGATCAAGTGAATATGTATCAATTGTAAGATGTTGTATTCGAGGACATAGAACAACAAGTAGTTTGATACTCTCTGATGAATAATTTTCTTTAATAGTGACATTGATAATCCTATTTGCATTAGATGTCAATCGAAACGGTTCACCCTGTTGAATTAATTTCGAATCTGTTTGTGTGATTGATTGACAGTTAAGTGTTAATGTATGAATATTAGGTGTGAAACGTAATACATTGATCAATTGTTCAAATCGAAAATCGCCACAGTCAATAATTAGCGTAGTCAATTGTTTCAAAGGAACAATATGATTGAGAATAAGTCCAAGCCAGATACGGCTTTCAGCAAAACTATGAGAAAGAGTGAGCTTCATGGCTTTTGAAAAATAACTAAGACAATTCTTCGTGGCTTTTTCACCATGGATATTAACATGATCAACTGAATTTACATCATTTTTATGAAGATATGAAGGAATATTTGTGTTCAATTGTTCATACAATGTGTATTCTTTTCTTCTTAAAATTACAAATCATATAAATATAGATGTTTTTTTTTCTAAACAAAAAATTTCCTTATACCTGTATGGATTTATGGAATAGAAGATTATTTCATTGACATTCTGTTCTTTATAAAAATGATGCACAAAAAACCATTTATGTTCATACCAAAATGAAGAATAGAATCGATTAATCATATTATCATAGTTATTATTATTGCTATTTTCTATCATATTTCTATGCTGAAAATCAAAAATTCGTAATTGTGGTATATAAGATAAAATTAATCTTTTCCATCGATTTGCATCCAAATATGCTATATCAGAATTTGTTGAAATATATAAAACTTGAACTTCATGAAAAAAATTTTTGATCATCGTTAATTCTAATTCATCAAAAGTAATAGTTGTCTTTAAATCCATATGTGTCAAATTGTTTAATTTTATTGAACATGTTTGTGTTTCCTGATTACGAGATCTATGAAGATCATGCAATGAAAAACGACGAAGATGAGGAACATATGATAAAAGAGCATTAAGTTGATCAAGATGAAAAGTATTTGTAATAACAAGATGTTCGATAGAACTGCCTTTATTAGTCGAAATAAGTAATGGTTCGAATGTCAAAGATCCTTCTAATGACAGTTTACAATATTTCAACATAGGTAAACAAAATATTTGACGACAAAGATTATTAAAATTTTCAACAATATCATTATGAATAATAGTTAATGAGAATAGACGAGGTAAAGTATCTAAATAACACAAAAGATTCTCCAGATATTTTGATTGAATATTTCCAAAAATTAGTGTTTCAAGTTGAGTGAAGTGTGAAATAATGTCTGGTGAAAAGAAAATAATTTTAATAATCAATGGATTTAATAAACGAAGTAATTTAATTCGATGTTGATTAGGTATAATAATGTTTGTATAATAATATTGAAAAGTTGATTTGGATATTGTTGAAATATTGATTTTGAGAGGTAATGTAGAATAAGTAAGAAGTTTTAAAAATCGTATATTGAGATTGTAGAATGCTTCGTATATATGAAAAAAATCGAGATATTCAAAAATTTCATAGATTATTTCATTTGATAGATCTTCGAAAATTGTGATTGACGATTTTAGTGATCTAAAGGCTTAAATTGAAAAATAAAGAATTATTTTTGTACTCACTTTCTTGAATTGCTTGTTACTACGAAGAAAGATTAAAAAAGAAGTTAAAAGTAAAACTAAAAATTCAGTTATAGTTCTAACCTAATAACTTTTCTCTTTTGTTATTATCAAAATGATTAACGATGAGATTTTCTTGTCGTCGTCGCTCCTTTATTTTGTCCATATTCAAATCAAAACAAAATAAGTTTTGCTGTCAAGTAGAAAAAAAGAACAGACTGAATGTGCACATATAATATCACTTGACTTTTTCTCGTTCTCTGAAAGCGGAAAGAACACACATGACAAAATAGCAGTAAAACAACACTTGGTGATTAATGTTGGAAGAAAGAAAGAATGAAGTTTTCTAATATGTTACTTATGTTATTCAAAAAGACTTTTCTTCTTCTTCCAACAACGTCACAAATTGCAGCTATTATTCAAATTATACCGTAACGATCGAGTCAAATATATTAAACACTAATAGTAAAAATAAAATTCTTAAACATGTATTTAGTTTGAAATAGGTTATATCGCATGATCTTTTAACTAAAACAGCACTTTTTCCTGTCAGCATCAAATTTGTTTGACATGTCGTCAACGACCGTTTGACATCGCTTTTTCGTCATTTAGTAGGCGCACTATTACGATCGTATTTCGTATTTCAAATAGACGGATACTCGATATTCAGATTGTCTGACGGCCGTTATCAACATTGTACGCATGAAAAATATAGGATCGAAATACTGCGTCTATCATAACCTCAATTTACAAATATTTACGATCACAATCTGATAGTGTACGCTATCGTTTTTGACGGTCTTGAAGACTGTAAACATTGTCCCGAATGGCTCAGAGTTATGTATCGTATACAGGGAAATATGGTCATATATGGAGAAAAAACGGTCGTGTACAGCACATGGAAGCGGAGCTCGTATACTATTTCCATGGTATTCAGTCTGTTCTCGCATATGGCCGTATGTCTTCGAGTTGACTCGACTGTTTGATTTGAGTTATTCATCTGAAAAAATTTCCACTGTCTCTTATAATAAAATCACAATTTATCAAATTAAATTTCCACTTACTCATAACTTTTGCCCTAATTGAATATATTCTATAAGAACAATTTTTTCAAGAGCTTTTTTCTACTTGCGTATTCATATGGTTGTAAATAACAGCCCACGCAAACTACATACCGTATCATATAAAACTTGATGTTAATGTTCTTTATAAAGGGTATGGGTGTGAATGTGGGTGTGGTTCTTACTCTAGATCATCTCTTTATCATTCACACCCACATTCAAACCCATACCCACACTCGCACCCATACCCAGACCGACACCCACACCCACACCCACCCACACGCAAACCCACACCCACCCACACCCCACACCCACACACCCACCCACAGTCACACCATCCACCCCATACCACCCACCCCACACCACCCACTCCATACCACCCACCCCACACCACCCACCCCACACTAACACACTCGCACCCACCCACACCCTTCTCTCGCCGAATCCGTGCTACATCTTTACGTTTTATGGTAAAAGCACTTATTCACAATAACTTCTCTTTTTTCTCCTTGCGTCGAATTCTAAGGGTTATCTTTTACCATAGATAATATAATAAGGGCAAAAGCAATGGAAGAAGCTCCTATTGATACACAAAATGAAGTGGAAAATATTTTCATACCAGAGGTATCCACAAGATGACTTTTTTCTCTCTGACTTGTCTTACTCTGCGCTGGATGTTGGTGTATCTTCTGTTCTCTCACACCCACAGTCTATTGAAATGTTTTTCTGGTTTGCTTTTAGAATCCAGAAAAAATTCTTTTTACTTGTTCTCTTTCTCTATCAAGCACGTTTTACTAGGTTTGTAAAAGAGAAAATGAAGTGGATTGTTGACATAACGGTCGGAAGAAACATTTTCATTTGTTCTTTTAACAATATTTGCCTTCTTTCTTTGAATTCTTTCCCAAAGAAATACATTATTTTTATTTTCATTACAATTGTTAGTTGAAACAGTGGCATATTGTTGAATACAAAAAAAACTCTATCGTTAAAAATAACTAAATCGTAATATGGATGATCGTTTTTCCAACCAGCGAGCACGTTCAGCACGTCATGATGACGGTGGGAACACCGATGACAGTAAATCAAGTGAGCACATATTTTTTTCTAATTCGAGAGTTTTCAAAACAAAATCTTAGCAGATTAAAAAAAAAAAGAAAATTATTTAGGGTATGACGCGCATGATGCCTTTGTGAACGGACTCAAACCGGGCAATGTCATAGTTAAAGTAGTTTAAAAATAGGTTGTCATTTCTTTTTTCCGTTTTTTTGTTGACTAGGGCACATCTCTAGATGCTATTACCAATATTTGTCGTCAACCACCCCCCATGAAAGAAATGGAAACCATCGAAAATAAAGATTGTATGTTTATGATATCAGTAAGTATTGTATTTTATGTCAAAAGAAATGTTGGTCATTCTAAATAGCCATTCAAATACAATCCGTCGATTCCCGATCAGAGACCGAGATCAATTAATGGCAAAGTTGGTTATCGCGATAGATGGGACACGGATCATGTTCGGATGCCATGTTCTCCACAATATGTTATGGTAAATGAAAAAGATTTTCATTTTTGTTTAATACTCTTTTGTCATCCAAAAAGAGCAATGGAAAACCTATGTGGCCAATTATTCAGCAATCATTAGTTCGCCTTCAACAATTAAGTGCTGCCCGTAGTGTTACTTATCGCGATCTAGAAGTAAATAGAATGCACCGGTTTTCATTTCTAAATAAGTTGTTTAATGCTAGGGAACAATTCAGAATTGCGCTGGACATCATTATGAAATGAATAGTCTTGAAAGACTGATCAAAGATGTAAGTTTTCGCTTCTTACTACAGAGAGTAATTTACGATTGTCCTAGATTTATTTGACCAAAGATTGTGAGGTTTTCATGTGGCATGTCCTTCCCAATATTTGTTTTCTTGCACTGAACGTCGATCAAATTTGTGGTCAAGTATGAATATTCGTTTTTTATGTATTATTATCGAGACATTTTATTTTGTTTCAGTCACCACCTTTACTCCGTATTGGATCAAATCGTTCTCTTACAATGTCGCAACTACAAGCCGCATCATTGTTAGCTTGTGCATTTTTCTGTCTATTTCCATACCGTTCAGACCAGGCTCAATCGAAAGAATATGAAAACTTTCCTAATCCGAATTTCAATAGGTAAATCTACGTCTTAGATCATTGAATATTTGTAACACATTGCTATTATTAAAGATTATATAAAAGTGGATCTCCAGCAAAAATTGAAAAACTCAAATGCATTTTACATTACTTTCGTCGCATTACAGAAAAGAGTACGCTTACAATAAATTACAGTATTCAGTGTTTGTGTTAGCAATGTTTCTGTTTAGCACCTAATGGTGTGATTAGTTTCCGACGTTATAAATTACCTGATGATTCCCATCCACAATGGTTAAATTCAAGACAAGTACTCTGTAATCTACACTTAACAACTGGCAAAAAGATCGAAGATATCGATTGTGTCTTACAAGTAAGTACAAGAATTCATTTTGTATATGAATTTAATCTCGTTGTTTCTAGGTTGACTTTGCCAATAAGTATATTGTGAATATCTAAATAATAATTTATTGTCATAAGATAAACATTCTGTAAAAAAGCTAGGGTGGAGGTGTTTTAGGCTCTGGTTGTGTACAAGAAGAAATTCGTTTTAGTATTTGTCCTGAAATGCTTGTTAGTTTACTTGTTTGTGAAATGATGAAGCCGGACGAATGTATATTTCTTATTGGTTGTGAACGATATTCATCATACAAAGGTTATGCAAACAATTTTGAATTCGATAATGATTATAGAGATGACACACCCAAGTAAGAAATGTTCTTTCATCTATTTAATTAATAGTAATACAAAACTATGAAGAGATCAAGTTTTATCTTGACTGTTAAAAATAATTTCAGAAATAAATTTCGTTAACAGAACGTAGATCTTTAAATCAGTCAGATATATTAGCTTTAGAACAACAAATATTCTAGTCAAATCTTATGTGTTTAATTTAGTTTCAAAAATAAATAAATTAGAATTTATAAATGTTTCTTTTCTTCAACATTGTATACTTTTAGAGATAATTGGGGTCGAAAATGGTGCCACCTTGTGGCTATGGACGCTATTTATTTTCGTAATCCATCAATCCAATACGATATGAAATACATAAATCGTGAATTGATCAAAGCATACACATGTTTTCGTCCTAGAAAAGTGGCAGCGATACACCAGACCTTGTTTGGTATTGCTACCGGAAACTGGGGTTGTGGTGCATTCAATGGTGATAAACAACTGAAAGGTGAAGATTGATGTGAAACTAATAAATATTGATTGCTTTTGCGTTTTTTAGCAATCATTCAACTAATGGCTGCTTCTGAAGCTAGACGTCCATTAATTTGTGCAGCTTTTGGTGATAAAAACTTAGTTAACTTATTTTTTACAGTTTATGATCATTTGACGCAACAACAAGCAACAGTACGAGATTTATACTTATATCTTTTACAATATAGTGACAAACATAGTCGATTATCATTATTCGATTATATTCTTCGAACATCTGTTAAGTCACTCAGACCTTAGCGCGATTGTTTGCATTTTTCAATAAGACAGAAAAATAAAGAAAGTCCCTGGTATATGTTACACATATTACTTTATAATTTTCTTTAAATCGTTGACAGCGTGGGAGCCGACAAAGAGCAGAAAACATCTACACTCACCGTTAGACTTCAAATTCATCGGAGTCAAATTTGGGTGTGGATGTGAGTGTGGGTGTGGGTGGGTGTGGGTGTG